TATGCAATTCTCAAGTATTGTTGTTTTAAAGTGTGTACAAATATCAGCTTTTATTGATAGTAGGATTTGAAATTTCATTCGTTTTCGATTTCAAGCAGCCATGGACGTGAAAATGAAGCATGTCATAAATCTGTATAAATTCGTGTGTTATGTTTTAGAAAGTGAAATCTCTTCGAAAGAATGAAGCAATTAATTTTTGCAGCATTGTAGAGGTAAAAAGGATCCATGCGTGGAAAATCCGTTCAGATCTTAGCCATATGGCCAGGACTTTAAAAGTACTGGAAGTAAAACGTGGGTGCCAGTTGTGGTTCATTTTGTGACAAATATGGCTGGTAATTAAAAATAAAGAGAGAGAGAGAGAGAGAGAGAGAGAGAGAGAGAGAGAGAGAGAGAGAGAGAGAGAGAGAGAGAGAGAGAGAGAGAGAGAGAGAGAGAGAGAGAGAGAGAGAGAGAGAGAGAGAGAGAGAGAGAGAGAGAGAGAGAGAGAGAGAGAGAGAGAGAGAGAGAGAGAGAGAGAGAGAGAGAGAGAGAGAGAGAGAGAGAGAGAGAGAGAGAGAGAGAGAGAGAGAGAGAGAGAGAGAGAGAGAGAGAGAGAGAGATTTGAATTAAAGAATGCTAAGTTGAAGATTATATACTGATATCAAAAAATTATGCAAGCGTTCCATCATTATGACCATTTTTTAAAAGTGACAGTTTTTCCGAATCACTCTGTACAGTTCAAAACAAGCTTAATGTTATTTTAAATAGCTAAATCAACCGGTGGACTTAGTTTGATGTTTAAAAAAATTAAATTCTGTACTTAAGATAACTCGACCTCCCTTTAATATGATAAAATAATAGTTTGTTTTTTATCTGTGGTTTTTTTAAAGGCACCCATCGCTGTTTCAGGTGACAATGACAATGTGATATCCACCATATGTAACCATATATGTAACTCATGCGTATGATTGAAAAACTGTGAACAGCAAAGTTTAAGGAAATTAATTGGGCTTTTTGATAAAAATACTTACAAGATTGAACACTCACGATTAACATCTCAAAAGAGTGAAATTGCTCAAATTATGCGACAAGTGAATTTTAACCTACGAGTATCTCGAAAATAACAACTTTGGGCAATTTAAGCACTTTTGTTGAAAATTGGATGTGTGTTAACACTATTTTAAAGATATTCGATAACTGTAGGTGGTATTTTGGAAAATACTTATTTTTTCAATAATTCATAACTTTTTTGTTTATGATTTGCCATGCAAATGCACAATGTCAGTAGGTATTACTTTATCTTAACTACAAAATAAATATAAAAAACCCGAATTTATCCACCTATGGTGTGATCAGACCCTTCTTACTTATTCAAGTTTATTTATTTTATTGTCATTATCAGTGACCAAGCCCCCCACCCCCGTGTCATCCAGTGACGCTCCGCCACTGCCTGGGGGTACCCGGAATATATCCGGGTGTAGTCTATTTGGTGAGGCTACCAATCACCTTATCATCGTATTTTAATGTGATTTAATGGGTTTTAATTCAATTCATATTCAAGCAACTTCCCCGGGGTACCCGGAACATGTCCAAGTGTGTCCAATGTGGTCTGGAACACTTAACACGACTTGCGTTGATCTTATTTTTCAATTCTGTAGTAATTTGATGTGTCGCATGATGGTTTTGATACGTTTTCCGTTAAATCCAGCGTGAAGGCCCATATTCACCGGATCTTATTCCGGCCATATCTCCGGAACCGGTTCACCGATTCCAAAACCGTTCAATAGCGTTCAATGGGACCCCAAGACCTATCATTTGGCGCCGAGTTTGTCCAAATCGGATGAGCGGTTGCTGAGAAACGTGAGCGCATTCATTTCGTTACATTCACACACACATACACACATACACACGTACACACACACACACACACACACACATACATGTTCTGATCTCGTCGAGCTGAGTCGAATGGTATATGATGGTTTTGATACGTTTTCCGTTAAATCCAGCGTGAAGGCCCATATTCACCGGATCTTATTCCGGCCATATCTCCGGAACCGGTTCACCGATTCCAAAACCGTTCAATAGCGTTCAATGGGACCCCAAGACCTATCATTTGGCGCCGAGTTTGTCCAAATCGGTTGAGCGGTTGCTGAGAAACGTGAGCGCATTCATTTCGTTACATACACACACACACATACACACATACACACATACACACACACACACAGAGACATGTTCCGATCTCGTCAAGCTGAGTCGAATGGTATATGACACTCGGCCCTCCGGGCCTCGGATCGATAGTCGGTTTTTCAAGTGATATCTATACCCTTCTTTGTAAAAAGGTAAAAAATGATTTAAAAAATAGGGTAAATGTTGGCTTCGGCACCCATTGACTGTTTTCGGCAACCTAAATTTAAACGTTAATTTCACTATGTTTTCCCATCAACGCACTTCCCTGAATGTGTCCAAACGATTGTTTAGCCTTTCAGCTTCAATCTGATTATATTTGAACGATCGAGCAATCCAGTAATGCTACATTTTTCTTCAAATAAAGCATACGCACTACAAAATGAGGTTGATTTCGAGTTGCCGATAATAGAACAGCTGGTTAACACGCAGTTCTAATGGGAAGATTGCCGAAGAAAAAGAGGCTGCCGACAATAGTCACACTCACCTGAGAAGTTTGGAGCGTTGTAAAAACGCTTTCAAAACGTTTTGAAAAATTCTGTCGATTGGAATGGATAGAGAAGCAAGCAGCAGATGAATGTAAACAAACAGACACATCATATATGTGCGTGACGCTGAGAAAATGCTAGTAGAAGTGCAGACGCTGCTTAGATTGACGAGAATACGTAAATTCCCCTATATGCAATTTGAGATATTTTAATTTTTTTTTTTTTTTTGATGATTTTGATATTTTTTTTCCTGATGAATGTAGGCGTCTTAGTGGAATACCTGTATAATGAAAGAGAGAAGGATTAGTATTTTCCATTTAATTCCACTACTTTATTTGCTTATCCTTGACAGTCAAGGATAAGCAAATAAAGTAGTGGAATTAAATGGAAAATACTAATCCTTCTCTCTTTCATTATATTTTTTTTTGTTAAAAAATATTATAATGTTTTACAGCGTATATTTTTTCTCGAAAGGCACAATATTTGTCCGCAACTTCTTCCACGACACCATCTCAATCAAACAAATCGTTCGCAAGATATATGTTTTCCTATTGATGCGTATCACTTTTTGCATAAGCCTTTTTCAAGTGTTAGTCGTGTACAAAACTAGGGAACCAAATATGTTAAATGGCATGTTGGACAATAACAAACAACTGTGCAAAGTTTCAACATAATCGTAGAAGGTCGATCAAAAACTTAAAAAACAATTCGTCATTTGAAATGGAACTGCTTACAGAAAATTAAACTTGTGTGAGAAGATTGAAGCAATGCGCAAAAAAATGTGTGTTGTAAATTTCATATAAAATAAAAATAATCAATGCTGAGGGGTAGGCTAATTTATTTGTAACCACAAGGCAATATTTTTTTGTTCTTGAATAGTTTAAACTTAAAGTGCGCTAAATTTGCTTTGCAAACCATTTGAAATTTCAAAAATTCATTGAAACATCGCTGATATAGGCACGGTAATGTAAATTTTGGGTCATACAACGTAAATTTTTCATGAAAGTTGATGCAAGAGATAATTTTTCAGCTATTTAGGAGCTGCGTTTGGCAGAGACGTAATGATTTTCGAACTGAACTGATTGATGAGCGTTAAAATTGATTGATGAACTGGTAAAATTGAACGATGCTTTTTTGCTGCAAGAAGGACATTAATAAAAAAGTATTGAATTTTGAGTGAAAACCCAAACGTGACTTTTTACACAAATCAGTTCAAACTAGTTCCCATGACCATGTTTTTTTTTCTCTGGTGCACTTGCAGTGCATAGAGATGAACTAGCCTTCGGCTAAAAACCCCTCAAATAAAGTTTGAAAAAAAAACTTGCGGTGCATTCATTCTCTCCACATTCCAATTGCTATCTAAAATCTACAAATAACAAAATCGACAACTACATTGTCTACGAGAGAGACTGCGGTTTGTCTTCACCAGCCCTAATTTAGGAGCAGATTTCATCTACTATTACAGATTCTAAGCAGACACACCTAATAATTAAAGAATTAGACAAATTAATTGCCAAATAAAAAATCTAGCCTGTCAATGTGGCCTGAAGTGAAGCTACAGACAGAGGGTTAGTAATGCATTAAAATAGCAGACTACGAGATTCCATTTAATGAAATAGTCAGCTGATATTTCATGAGTTTAACAAACCCTTAAATCCCACAATTCAGAATTGCTTTTAACCTTTGCTCATTTTCTATGTGGTTGGACGCAGGAGACCGTTTTGAAGCATTTAGCCACAACAAATATTTACAGTGCCATACCATCTCAGTCTCCCAGGATGAAGATCAGTGTGGTTTTAAACTTTACCCAAACAAATCACTCACATAAACGAGAAATACCTCTAATCAAATAGAAATTAATATTAAATTTAACAAAGCATGTGAACCCCCGATTATTATTAATGTAAAAGTCATCTGAGATAAATCTCATCATACATGGATTATCATTTTCCTCTTTTATAACGTGTGCCTCATCTAATCTAAAAAAATCTCTGCAAAGTAAATTAACTAACAATGACGTTAGCATTTTTCCGGCAGTACTGATGCTATGCTTGAACGTAAAAACCAGTTAATACACGAAAGCCATTGAGTGGATAAACGTACCACCCATCTGATCCACGCTCCACCACAGGAATGTTTCACAACAGCAGATTCAACGATCCTTCATTCACACTGAACCAAAATTTTGGCGTGGCACATTATCTCTCAGCATCTCTTCTGACGCTCACCTAGTGTCTCCAGAATCTCATTCAGTTTTTACTCCCCGTAAAAAGGTCATGCGCAGTCGGCAGATGTTGTGAACAACGTTCTCTTCGTCCCAGTATCGGACAGCATCCCAGAAGAGTGAGCATCTGGATCCGTGTACTCTGGTGAAGGCGTAATCTTACTCGAACGATATTTTTGCGGCCCACTAGATGCATTGGAAGTCCTTTTTTACATTGTGATGTCAACGCCTCTGTTGGTGTACTGTGGTACCACTACTAAATCGTCACATGAAAAGATGTTGTCGAGAGAGTGCCGTAAGTTTTCGTTAGTTTCATTAATTAGAGAAAGAAAACTGTGCTAAATTCAATTGTGAGTGACGCTGACGCTAATGTTATTAGATATAAGCAGACAAGCGAAGAATAACGGTAGTGATAGCATAGAAAATGCATGGAAAAGTAAACCATCTATTGAGCGCACGAAAATTGCTTTGAAAAAATCGACGCGGCAGTAGATGACAGCTCGGGATGTTATGTTGTGAAAAGTGACAAGCACGAATAAAACAAAAACATTATCAGATTTAAGTGCTTGAAATTACACAACCATTGAAAATGATACGATTAAATTTCATCCTAAGAGTGCTCGTGACGTGTTTCCTTTTGGGAACTTTCATCGACTTTTGTGAAGCAAACCCGGATGCAAAGCGGCTGTATGATGATCTGCTCAGTAACTATAATCGTCTAATACGGCCCGTCAGCAACAACACCGATACGGTGTTGGTCAAGCTAGGATTGAGGTTATCACAGCTGATCGACCTGGTAAGTGAACTGATTATTACGGTAGGCGTCAAATTTCGTTATTATCTATGGAATCAGCAAAGTCCAAACGAAACATGAACATTAACTATATAATATTGTAAATTTTTTTGGGTGTTTTGATAAGTCGACTACTACCAACTAACCAGTACCACACCATCCAGCAGGTGTTATACCGCGATAGTCCTATATCCGGAACTAATCAGATACATTACCCGTGCCCGTGTTTTATTTTTAAATCAGGGAAGCTATAAGAAGTTTCCAAAAGAGCTAACAATTTTAAATCCATGCAATATCAGTTTGTTGAAACTCCACCGCCATGAGCTCCTTAGTTTGCCTCTGCTACGATGTCATGGTGGGTTCCATACCAGTGCTTGCCAAAATGTCGCTACCGGCCCTTCATAGTGTGTGGCCGACTTACGTTCATACAACTTACTTACTTACACTTACGTTCTCAAATTTCGACGATGGACCTCAACATTTGAAATTCAGTTGTGGAGCCACCAAGCACGCATTATACACCGCTTACATCAATTGATGAAGATCTGTAACTTTTGAGTGTTTCAAGCTCAACATTAATTATCAGCTCAGTTGCGTACTTTGAACAGTGCTGTTAATTTTAATAGCATTCGATTGAAGATGAACCAATACAACCAATCTTTTAATTTTGTCGAACCCCTTAACGGAGTCCCTTTATGAAGAGCTTTAAGTGTGGTGGTTTATTTTCTTTTAATTCCGTTATAATTGCTTATCTTTTGACAGATACGCGTATTTCATCTACTACTTGCAGACTTCATCAGTGCCAAGTGGTGTTGAGTACTTGGCACTGATGAAGTCTGCAAGTAGTAGACGAAATACGCGTATCTGTCAAATGATAAGCAATTATAACGGGATTAAAAGGAAGTAAATCATCTCACTCAAAGCTCTTTACAATCCAACCTTGCAATCAATTCTGCGCACCAAGTTTTTTTATGCCTAACATTTGAAGAGCCACTTTCTCAAAAAAAAAACCTCATCGTCACTTTCAATTGAGTTACTCACTATTAATTGGTATACGGCAGTGGAGTACGGAAGAAATTTCCCGAACAGACATGTCCTCCCGATGTTGCATCAATGTCAGGTAATTTAGGTTCAATGTCAACCCTATGTCGGGTCACTGTTAGGTTGATCTTGGTTTTATGTCGGGTCAATTTCTGTTAACATCGAGTTTGGTAGAAGTCAGGTTGGTGTCGGGTGGGCCTAGATTTTTGCCGTTTGTGTATAGGTTACATTCTATTGAATGATATCAAATTTTTCCAACACAACAATGAACTTAACTGTTAACCGGAAGACTTAGCTTAGGAGAAATCCGAATAAACTTTAGGAGAAAGTTGAAATAAGTTTCCTTGAAAAGTTGGAGGAATCTTCCAAGGACAGTTGAAATCTTTAGTTGGGAGTCAGAAGATGCAAGCTAAGTCAGTCAAAGGGACTTCTGAGGAAGAAACATTCAAAAAAATACAGAAGCGTCTTCCATGGGAAGTAAGAACGAAACCGGGAGAAATTGGAAATTAATTTCAACTTGCAGAGCAGGGTTGTTAATCGTTAACATCAGCGTTAACGTTATAAATGGGAATACGCATTTAAGACAGTAACGTAATTAACAATACACTTTCGATTCACGATTGATCAAAAATATCCGGAGAAAGATGGTAGAAACTTTCGGGGAAATATGGAAGATTCTTCCAGAAACTTTTTGCAAAGTCGGATGAAACTTCCGAAAGAAATCATAAGAATCCTTTCGAAGAAGCTAGTCAAAATCTTAATGGTAAGTTGAAAGAAACATCCAGAAGATGTTGGAAAAACCTTCAGAAAGAAACCAGAAGAAGCATCCAGGGGGAATTTGGGGAATCTTCCAGGTAAATAAAAAATATTAAAATGTATTGAAATACACTGGAGTCGCTTTTTACGCGGGTGATACGTCCCGCGTAAAAAAAAAACCGCGTAAATTCCGGAATCCGCGTAAAAAAAACCGCGTAAATTCCGAAATCCGCGTACAAAAAAACCGCGTAAAAAAAGACCGTGTAAGAAAAAACCGCGTAAAAAGCGATATACCACGTCAATTCTAAAATCCGCGTAAAAAAAAACCAAAATCCGCGTAAAAAACCGCGTAAAAAAAAACCGTGAAAAAAAAACCGCGTAAAAAGCGACTCCAGTGTATGTGTTATGCAGATGTTTTAACCCTGTCCTTTGGTTAAGTGAAGGTTAGGGCGCGTTATGCCAGGTTAGTCGAGACAAATTTCATGTGGGAGTAAGTGATGAACATTGTTATGTGCAATTCACTTTGAAAGGTATGTTTCATATTTCATCACATGTGGTTCCAAAGAGCCTAAACGATATGTGGCGCTTGCGAAGATCACTTGAAGATACGATATGAAGGAACATTGATACTAATGGTATAAAACACAAGTAAATTCTTCCAGAAATATGTTAAGATAACATATTGCAAAATGTGTTAATTTTCAGTGAATAAATGTAATGTTGCATTGAAATACTTTGAATAGTGTTAAATTTAAATGTTCCCTTATTTCACAGCCGTTTGAACTATTCTAAACGGCCATCCCGTAGTGGTTATATCACATCATTGCTAATAATGTAGGGTTACGGTATGTAATGTGGGTCTAGTCCTTTCATTCGGCCTATCACGCAAATAAATAATTAATTAAGGAATATTACACAAAAAATTAGGAAAATATTGATCACTGATGATTGATAAATGTGTACCACACACAAATCAATTTATATCACAACATTTCAATACATTTTCAGCTCTCGTAAGTAATAAAACTGGTTGAGAATATCACTCTGTTCGGAGTTTTTAGCCGCCATGACTTCTAAGGTTAAGATGGGAAGGTTGACTGACGATCATCAAATGGCCTGATTATGGCATTTATTGAATGGAATTACCTGATAATACACACTAGACGTAAAACTCACAGTTACTGTTTGAATATTTTATGTTTATTTTAATTGTTTAACAACGTTTTCACAAGTAAATCATGGACCCAACTTTAGGGACACATTTCTTTTCTATGTTCCTAACTTTGGCCCATGAAATTCATTTGACAGCATATAGCAATAAGAGTAACGTCAACAATGTGGTTTGCATTTGGATGATAAGGAACGAACAGGAAGGGAGATTTTTTCTGCCAAATCTGTATAATGAACATCACAATGTTTTGATTTAGATATTCTGCGGTCGAAAGACGATAAGCGAAATTTTTAATTTTTAATTTTTAACTTGAGTGATTTAATGTAGTTTTCGTAAAATTTTCTCTAAGAAATGTTTTGAGGAATGAAGAGTATTAAGTTAACAGTGATAGTGATAAAAAAAAATACATAAGAAAACGTTACCAAGAGCGTTTTTTTTGAGAATCAAAGAGGATAGGACGAAGTTGCATCCATAAATAGACCCAATTTGGGGACAATAGACCGATATTACATACATTTCCCTGGTGAGTTTTTGTCTTAAAAAAAGTAAGTTTTTCAACTTTTTGCGGTTCCTGATAGCAAACGACATGATAAGCATATCTAAGCATACCATTTAGCAGTAGAATATCGTTTGCAGGTAAATTAATTGATGAGTTATGATTAAAAACGTAATCTATGGCTGCATATTAGACCGAGGTTAGGGACGTATACCCTATATATCTATATCTTTTCCGGTACCATGGAGTCGACAAAGTAAAAGTATAAGGAGAGCCGCAAAATGAAGCACATGTGATACGAAAATGGAATGATGCTCGTACTACGGTTTTATAAGACGCAACTAGGATCTCAAGAATATCATACTAAAAATGTGGACGTCAATATATCATGGATCACATCAGAAATGATATGGGAGACTTTCAGGAGCTAGCAGTGATGCAGAGAAGGACAACGAGCTAACAAATAGACACGACAATTAGACAAAAGAGTGAAGAAACAAACATTGCTTATATGTATTAAATACACGCCAGAATAAAAACAAAGTTTTTTTTTATTCTGGTAGTGTGAATCCATTACATGTATGCAATTGATATATCGATGTGTTCATGCGGGGGTTATTGTATATTAAGGCGACCTCAGAATATACGTGTATGAACAGGCATTCTTGGAATGGGTTGTTGGATGTACAGTAGAGCTATCACCTTCCATCGCCAGGGCTAAAGCTGTTTGCATCTATGTATAAAAATAGGTGCAAACAATTTTCTACCATTCACCAGTGATAAATGGATTGTAGACCGAAATCCAGTAGTAGCACACCCCAAGAAAGATTTCAGTTTGGGAAGACCAAATGGATGGAGGTCAGGAAGAGGATCAATGAACTCCATGACTTCGTCAAGGATAAGAGCAACGTCCACAAGGCAAAAAAGGAAATGGTGACGGGCATAAAATCCGCCATGACTGCTGCCGAACGTGAACAGGATGCGCTAAGGACGACATCCGTGACTGCCGAAAGTTGCCGAGGCCAAGGGTAAAGCAGCAGCTGAAACACAGGATACGCCGAAGAGACCTCGACCGAGCGTCGGAGGAGAGGAAAAGGGAAACGCCAGAGGAAGAGGAGTTGAAAAAATTCAAGAACGACAAGGAAGACAACAAGGAGGAAGGATGGCGTACCGTCGAGAAGTCGAAGGAGAAGTGGAAAAAACGGAAGGAAAAAGAAGTGAAGAAGAACAGAAGAAGGAGAAACCCAGGCTTCGTAAGGGCGATGCTCTGATCGTTGAAGCAAACGACAAACGTCGCTTCAAGTGCATGGGTTTCGGTCACCAGGTCATACGACGGGAGAGTTCAAATGCCTAGCATACAAAAAGGCGATGACAGGCCAACAGTAATAAATCTCAATTATTGCGACATTGCTCAGCAACTGTTGTGGCAGTCAACAACAGAAACAAAGCAAAGTGCGACGTTGCAATCATTGCGGAACCGTATCGAGCCCCTCCCGATAACGGTAACTGGGTGGCGGATAGAGCTGGGATGGCTCCATT